CCGTAATTATTTTTAATCACATGACCACATTTTATGTCAAAGCAGGGTTTAAACAAATGTAAAGAAAATTGAGCAGTGTTCAACTTTCAATGTGACTATATCCATAAAACGGTACCATCAACCAATCAAAAGTCAGTCTTCATAAGTGTCTTCAAGAATTCATAATACCCTGTTCGCACCGAGCATTTCAATCTAGATTGCGAACAAGGTCAGCGACTATGCCGTGGTGTGACCTCTCTCGACCATTTCAATCTTGAGTGAAACAAGATTCAATCACGATCGACTCGAGAGTTCTTGAAACTAGATTTAGTCATAAGAGAGATCCCACAAGCCCACACGTGCAAGAAAATACAAGATGGCTGCAGAACACATGTCAGGCTACCAACAGAGAAATAAAAACGACATCTGTCTATTATTAGATGTATGGCAAGAAAAAGTATTTATTTCTAACCAAAACTTCCATTTTGTTTGTTGGTGTTTGTGACTTACCGTGTAGTTATGTCAGTTTTATCATCGTGTGTAATAGCCGGGTTCTTCTCAAGTGGACTGCCTGTGCGAACAGCACGATGTTTGACTGGCGACAGTCACAATCCAGATTGTAGGTAAATCGAGATCAAAGTAAGTCGTGAATTGTGTGCGAACATGGTATAACATCATGAAAAAATTGCAGGAAATGAGCTTTTATGTACATTTGCTCTATTCTATCTCTTGCTCTCATCATTTTGATATTTGTGGAGTTTATTAAATTAGTTTTAATTATCTCCAATAATTTACATGCAAAAAAATGTTTAGTTTCAACTCTTGGTGGTAGTACCATTACCATAAAAACTTCAATACTGGAACTGAATCTTCACTCCAATCCAAGTGCAAGTCCAAATAAGTCCCTTTAATTAAACATAATTATGGTGAGAGTTTTCACACTTGTTTTTATGCTACTGGAATCTTGGCCTAAATAGAATATTTTGTGAGAAAAATTTGATAGTACTTCTGAAATAAGTTTATTTTTCAGTTTTCACAAATTTTTATCTTACAAGGAGAGCCTACGGCTTTGGGGTAACGGATTTTGATGATCTTTGGTGTAGAGGTAGTACACAATGTGAGTGTACTACCTGTAAAATACTAAAGTGCAATACTCAAATATAATCGAGAAAATCGAACTTAAAGTTTTGTTAGCACTTTATATATAAATTATACGTATTTCTATTCGAGCGTCCTGTGGCAGAGTGGTAACGAGTCTGATTCATAAGCTTGAGTTCTCGGGTTCGATTCTCGCGTATAATTTTTTTTTTAATTCATAAATACTTATAATGTATTTATTTATTTACTCATTCATTTATTTCTTATTATTTATTTATTTTAATTTAATTTCTACTATTCCAAGTCTAATATTTTTATACTTTTGTTGACAATAACGGCGCATTCTTGACACCTATGTGTCAACTTTCCCATCTAATTGTTATCACTAACGGTGACCGATCTAATTCTCACTAGGAGCGTTTTTCTATCAGAGTTCTTTTTCACTCACTCTTTAACAGTTCGTTTCTAAATTTCGACACGAATAGACGTATTTGTGTAGTAAAACTTATTTTGAAAAATTATTTTATAATTAAAAAATGTCGTCAAGAGAAGCAAGTTCTTCATGTTGTGACGAAAAAACTGTTGATGATAACTCTTTATACAGTGATGTATCAAAGCAGCATAGTGAAGTAAAATACTAAAGTGCAAAACTCAAATATAACCAAGAAAAACGAATATAATTTATTGAAGCAATATTATATAATTACATAGCATTGTCAGATGTACATGATCGTGAATGATACTTATGATAAAAACATTCAAAACAAAAATTCTGTCTACACCAAGAACAACAAATAAATGCTGCTTTTTTACAATTGCAAGGTATGTTTAAACGAGAACTTGTTTAACTCCTTAAGGACATAGACATTTTTGATATTAATTTATTTAAACGTAAAAAATACTTAAAAACTGAAAAAAACGAAAGAAATGCGTTAATTTTGAAGAAAAATCTTCAAATTTTATTTTCCTTTGTCTCGCCTTTCTGTGAAATTTAACACCGATGAGTCATTGTTTACACATCTGGATGACCTTGAACACAGCTGGAGTTGGATTTCCCGGGACATTCTCATAGACGTCTCGGGATGACAAGGGTTTAAAGTAGGGTGACTACTAGCTAGGCCTATATTTTTAAATATTTTTAAAAAATTGAAATTTTAATTGCGATTTCCGACCCCATCTAATTAATTAAATTTATATATAATAAAATATATTAATTAAAAAAATTAAAAAACTATCGGAGGTCGTTTTTGACATCAGAAACTAGCTTTAAATAACTTTAAGGAAGGAAAATCCGTGCGCTAGAACTTTAGAACGATGAATTAATTTGATAAAAAATCCCATTAAAAAACAATTAAGCCTTAATCGAGCCTTATCAAAGGCTCATTAAAATCGCGATAAATTTTTTTAGCGCGGGAAAAAAATTTTGAAAAAATTTGGAGACAAAAAACATTCCAAAAATTCAAAAAAAAAAAAAATTTAAAAACTCCCCTTAAGGACCGCGTTTTATGTAACGCTATGTAACTTGCCCGAGTTTTCTCGGGTTATGGGCTTAAGTTATATAATATATTAAAATAAATAAATAATAAGAAATGAATGAGTAAATAAATAAATACATTATAAGTATTTATGAATTAAAAAAAAATTATACGCGAGAATCGAACCCGAGAACTCAAGCTTATGAATCGGACTCGTTACCACTCTGCCACAGGACGCTCAAATAGAAGTACGTATAATTTATATATAAAGTGCTAAAAAACTTTAAGCTCGATTTTCTTGATTATATTTGAGTATTGCACTTTAGTATTTTACAGGTAGTACACTCACATTGTGTACTACTTCTACACCAAAGATTGTCAAAATACGTTACCCCAAAGCCGTAGGCTCTCCTTGTTAGGAACATTCATCTTCTTGCAAATTTTACTGTACAAAGAGAAAAACCAGGAACCCCTGACTTTATCTGAGTCTTGAGAGACAGACTATCTAAAAGTTTAAGCTTGAAATGATACACCAGAATTAAAACCTGCTGAAAGTTCTGACAAAAATATACAGGTGAGACAAAGGCAATCCAGAATTGAAGCTTTAAGAATAGAAATATGGAATATTAGTCCCCTTTCTGATCTCGGAAAATGGTTAATGTGACCAAAAAGATAGACTACTAGAATCCCATACTAGTTCAATAATCTTATGTTAGTTTATAGTTTGGGACCTAAATCAACTAAAATTCCAAGAAGAGCTAAAATTAATAAATTGGCACTTTGGGACAATTCAGTGACTTTCTAGAATATTTGGACAGTATCCCTTGCCTACAGGATTGTGGTTTAAAGTGCAGTGATAACACCTAGCGTAGTGTCTTCCCCTTTCTTTTTTACATCTTTGATCTTACATTACAAAAATGTGAACACAGTTTAATAATAATATAGTTGTTTCTTTGACATGATTGTAAAAACAGCATGACATCATTCAAACCACAATCAATTGTAATAGTATTCAAAAAATTTTTAAAAATTGTGATTTGAACTTTGGTCTTCTTCTACCTAGCCTAAAAATGGTCAATAAAATTGGCTGAAAACATTAGCTTAACTAAATACAGTTCAAAATTCTAATGCATAGAAGTACCACAACAGTGTCTTCTTTATTTTGAAACATCCTTTACACACTTTGGGAACAAACAGTCCTTATGGCAGAGTTGACCTTACTTTATAGGCTACTTTTCCTGCATCAATATGTAAAAACAGTAGTAAAATTCGAAATAAAGAAGACACTGTTGTGGTACTTCTATGCATTAGAATTTTGTAATATATTAATGTAAATAAAGTTATTGCTGGTTTTAAAAGGTCATTGTTAATGTATTTACTAACAAAATAGAAAACAACTTGAAACTAAAAAGAAAAAGATCAAGTAATAATAGTGAGAGATATGAATGCCAAAAATAGAAAGAGAATAGCAAGATATATTATTAGACTGATGAGGAGTAGGGTAGAGACCAAAGGGAAGAATAATAAAATCAGATTATTATACTTTTAATTAAAGAATATATAAATACAGTAAAAAACACAAACCTTTCTTAGCATAGATTGTGGTAGTAATCATAATTTATTGGCATCATCATTAAAGATAAAGTTTAAAATCAAAATAATGGTGCAAGGCAACAAAACAAAGAAATGTACATTTATAGCAATATTATTCAAACACAGTACTGTATATCAATTCTAATAATTGGTATACAGTGCTGTATTCCATTTTTAAGTGACAGTATTTTTTAAACTGAATAAAATTAAGTTATGGTTATTATAAAAATCACAAATAAATAAGATCTAACCAGAGAATAAGAAACTGAATAAACAAGAGCACCTTGTGACTGCAGCATTAACTTTAAAAAATTGGATTTATTAAATTTACTGCTGGAGTTACAAGGTGCTCTATTTATTTTATTATAAAAATCTTATTCTACTAAAAAAAAAGATGACAATTATTTAGATAAATATCTGCTTACAGTTTACTGAATTTATGTACAGTACTATATTTCAAGGCATATAAGACACCCCATTTCAGTACAGAATATTTAGGAAAAAAGTATTTTGTGTATTTAAGCTATTCCATGTCTTTGATAGTCTGTCCCAAAATTTTTTGACTATTCCAGTTATAAAATAATAATGGCATCTTCAAACAATAGCATTTTTATTCAGGAAATGTGCTAGATAGTGGTTATCTGTAGTCTACCTAGTTGGTTGGGGAATTCATTAGCCTTTGGAATATCACAACTTCACATACAAGATGTTGGGTAATTTTTTCATCCTCTTTTTGGACAAAAGTTACATCTTATATGCCATAAAATACAGTAAATATAAACTGAAATATATACGTATGTTAAATTTATAATAAATATATGTTATGAAAAATATTTCAAAACTACCTTATATTGTTTTCCCTCATAATGTTGCCATGGTTCAGGATTATTTTTTCTATCCCAGCTGAAATTCAAAATATTTCAATTCATTATATTATTTCTTATAGATAATTTCATTAATTCAATCAAATAAATATTTTAACTACAAACACATCTAAAAGAAATAATAATAAAAACAAAATTACTAAAAATTCTAAGAACCTTTTCAGCATTAACTTTACCCACAGAACAAACATTTTTCAATCAATTTACAAGTTTGCTTGAAAAATCTATCAAATCTATCAAAAATAGCAAATTCACCAACACCTTATTTGCTGAGAAAAACATATGTATGTTAAGTAAAGATAACTGTTAAAGCCACATTAATTAAAATGTCTACCACATATATAAAGGGATTGCCACAACTAATTTTGCATATTAATCAAATACCACATTAAGCAAGGATACCTATATTGATGAAAATTCATTAAAACAAAATTTTCAAAACACAATTTTTTTAATATAGTAATTAAACATTAAAATTAAAATAATGATTATTTTCAGTGTTCATTTATTGTTCATTACAATAGCAAAATTTCAGGTGTGAAGGAAAATCTGTTACAGATTTATCAAATATGCAAAATTCTACAATTTAAATACCAATGATTAATTACATTGTGATAATGGAACCAATTAATAAACAAATAATTAAAGCAAAACACATTTTCACAGAAAAAACATTTTAGAAAAATACCATTGTAACAATCCAGTTTGCATTTTTCAGTGATCAAATTGAAGCAAAATTCAAGTGGCCTTTTGTATAGCCCAGAACACTCAGAAATGTAAAACAAGTATCTAATCAAGTAGCTATGTAAAACAAGTGTCTAATCATATTCTCATATCGTGAAGCACAAAACTGATGAAAACAAATGTAACTATGAGGGTTGTTCAAATGAAACACGACCAATGATTTTATTTAGTAGGTATAGTACATTAAAAGTAATCCCCCTGATGAGTAAGGTACTTGTCTCACTATGACACCAGATGTTCGATTCCTTGCTCAAACTCAATGGGTTGATGTCTACACCATTCCTAAACTGCGTCTTCTTTCTCAGCATCAGATTGAAACTTAAGCCCTTTCAGGTCCCCCTTAAGCTCCTTGAAAACATGGAAATAACACAGAGACAAGACAGGACTGTATGCAGAATGTTGGAGTGTTCCCACCTGAATTTCAAAAGGGATTCTTGTACAATATGTGCAGTGTGAGGGCAGGTATTGTCATGAAGAAAGACAACACATTATGAAAGTAGACTAAGCTGCTTGGACTTGATGGAAGCTCTCAGATTTTAAAGTTTCCATGTACCGAGCAGCATTTATGGTGATTCCACAGGCAGTCAACTCCATCAGCAATGGGCCTCTGCTGTCAAAGAAGAATGTCAACATCTTGGTTGTTGTCTGCATTCCCTTTGATTTCTTAGGTGGTGGAAACAACATATGCTTCCACTGGGAGCTCTGTCCTTTGCTTTCCAGCTGGAAATGAAAGCACCATATTTCGTCTCCTGTAACAATTCTCTCTACGAAATAATGACCTTCACTGCAGTACTGCAGCAAATGTTCCAATGAGAGACCCATGCAAAGGTCTTTTTGTACAGACATCAAGTTGTGCAGTACCCACTGGGTGCAAATCTTTCAGTACTGCAGATGCTCACAGATAATGGTGTGCACTACTGATACTTGTCGCTTATTCCAACCTCAGTCGCCAGTGCTTTCAGAGTGACTCATCTATCATCCAAAATGAGTTTGTCCACTTCCACTACTGTAAACTCATTCATTGCATGATGTGCTTGACCTGGCCTGGCATCATCAGCCAACAACAACTGATCATCTCAGAAGCACTTACTCCAGTCTTTCACAGTTGTCAAACCCTTACAGTTTCAATACACATTGCTCATGCAGTGATGGATGGAATGGGGTCTGAACCTTCTACTATTCATTGAGTTGTTGACACATCCATGCTTGAAAGTTGGACGAACTATTTGCCTGACATGCTAAATGAATGCAGCTTGTTTGTAGGTTCATGTGACACTGCAGCGTGAACCTAGTGTTTCCACCTACATTTCAAATGGATGATGATTCGCTAAGCACATTCCATGCTTTGATATATCCATTGGTTGGGTTTCATTCAAATGACCCTCATAATTTCAGCAAATTATTCCTTGTTGAAATTCTGAACTCCAGTAATTTAATCAGAACAGCAATAAAATCACTTATATAATAGACATCTCATTCCAAACACTCAAAATATGAAAAATGCTTACACTAAAGAAATCAACAAATATATCCCATTTGCCCAAGAATTAAGGCACCAATAGTGGATAGATAGTATTTATTGTGCCCATTGTCCTCTCTTCAACTGGTTTCATACCCCATACACTACACTAGAAACATTAAAATTTAATGAAAACATATACATGGCACTACAGAAAGCCACAATACCAGACATAAGGTCACATTGTTAGGAAGTTTCTAGATGTACACATACACCAATAATACAGAAGCTTAATGTTACACTTGTTTGGATAGCTATGCCTTGGCTTTAGTCCAGCGTAGCACTTGGCACTAGTATGACATTTGCAACATAGTAAAGTGTAATGTATATACAGGTATACCTTGACTTACATCTTTTCGAGTTACGTCGTTCCTGATTATACGTCATTTGTCAAACAAGTATATGGAAATTTAAAATCAAGTTTAAGTGATTTTATTCTATTTTACTTCTGTCCGTCACAAATATTAAAGTTGTAATATCACTAGAAAAGCATTTAAAGCACATAAAACATCATATTAAAATATACATTTACAAGTATGTACTGTATTTACAGTATAGTACATGCATTTGTAAATTTAGATTACTTTTTTCTGTACTATATTAAAAACTAAAATTTATTTGTTTGTAAGCTTAAAATAGATCGTTATTAACCATATATTATTAAAAATGCATTAATAAATAAAATACAGAACCGAAAATGGTAATTTATGGTTTAGCCTAGTGACAAGGAGATTTGGAGACAAGTAAATTCGACTTACGTCGCCTCTCCTGGAACCAATTACTGACGTAAGGCAAGGTATACCAGTATATTAAATTTTTTTACAATATGCTAATGAATATAGTAAAAAATTAATGTAAAATAACACAAAATAATAACAAAAGTTATTTAAATATATACATACACACATATATATATATATATATATATTTTACAATATTCTAATGCATATTGTAAAAAAAAATTGTAACTTTCAGATGCTGAATGCCCCTTCAGCTGCTTGAAACATCTACTGTTGAAATTACACAATCTGTTATGTCATCATCTAATCTCTAAAATGATGCATAAAAATTGTGAAAATGAGAGTCAGCACAAGTAAGCACTACTTTTAAAATACTCCAAGTACTTGTAAGTAAGAAACAATGAAAAATTTAGAGACTAGATATCTTAACTAATCTTATATTTCACTTCAATCAAAAGAGACGTAAACTGAAATCAAAAGCTAGTATCAAAAAAGTTATGATATATAGTGGAACCTTGCTTAGCAAGCATAATTCATTCTAGAATCTTACTTGTAATGCAAAACATTCATTAAGCAAAATATGATAATGCATTCCATGCAAAAAAAAAATACTCAAATATTTTATGTATAACATTTATTCAACAAAAATTATACAATATACTGTATTAAATTTAATGTGAGGATGGCAGCATAACTGCCTACGTCTAGTCAAATTATTTAATTTCTAATATTTAATTATAGTCTTTGCTTAGCCCAAGAATTTAGCATATCATTTGGCATGTTTATTATATAATGGGCTATGGTTGTTGATGTTTATATGTAATATGTCTGAACACAAGTTTGGAAAAATGTGTGCTCACAAGTGACACTAAGATGCTAGCGGAATGAGTGCTAAACACAGACTGATGTAGCATGTGCACAATCTGGGACTTCTCTCCTTGACATTCATAATGCAAAACATCACTTGTTAATTAAGCAAGTCAATTTTAAAAATTTGTTTTGCTCATTATGCAAATTATTTGTTATGAAAGGTACTCATTAAGCAAGGTTCCACTGTATTCTTGATTGATAAAAGAGGATACTAAAGAGAAAAGACAGGGTTCCAGAATACAAACATTTGATGACCCCCCAACCGTCCTTTTTAGGCAGTCAAATTTAAAAACATCCTTTAAATTTGTAATTTTAATTGGATATTTTTTTGTGTTTTTTAAATTTGACAGCCTAAAAACGAAGATTGTGTCATCAATGTTTGTATTCTGAAACACTAGAAGTAAATAAAATGGTGGTTCCCAGTTTTGGACAGACTATGTCTTCAAATTAATTTTCATAAAATTGCCATTCCAACAAAATTTTACAATTGATATTTATAAATGTTTCAGTTAGTGCTTTATTTCTCAAGAACATATAATAAGCTCTAATTGACTATTATTTTGTAATATTTTATGTTAACAGAATGAAATTAAACATTGACAAATAAAAATCAGTTTAATTATAATTTAAAATGTAATTAAAACTATCAGAATTGAAAATTTCCCTTAAAATATTACTAAATAAAAATATATATTTTTCAATTACTATTTCTGAACAAATATTGTTGAATTTTAATCACACTGCATCTTACGCTGTTTTCCAGCACTAGTTTAATCAAAACAAATGTTTTCGACCTGTTCACAGGTTGGCCTTGTGTTAAAAACAAAAAACTGTTCTAATGATAGAACTGAAACTAATAGAAAAATAGCAGTTTTAGTTCTATCGTTAGAACTCAGTTTTTCATTTTAACCTTACCTCTGAACAGGGTCAAAAACACTTGTTTTGATTAAACTAGTGCTGGAAAAGTGTATAAGGTGTAGTGTGATTAGTATATTTGTATTCAATTTTTCTACATATGCTTATCATTTTGTTGTATTTATTCAATCCTTCAGAAAATTTTAATTGTATATAGCAAAATGAACAGAGAACAAAAAATATAAACTGAAAAGAGCAGCATAAAATATACAGCACAATATAACTTTTGTATTCACTTATTTTTCATATATGTCTTAAGAAATTTGGCCACGAAGAAACCTACTTTACTGGAATCAGAAAACAACATATAATCAGAAGTTGCTCTGGAAAGTTTTTAAAAAATTGCCAACTGTTTCACCAGTTTTAAATTTTTTTAACTACTACTTAATGCAGGTGCTGGTAGCCTTATCAGTTTTGGAGTCTGGAAAGCAAAAGCAAACATGTTAAACTATCACTTAGAAATAGGAATCATTTTTGAATAATTTTTCAATAAATAGTTCTGAATAATACATTTCATCACAATATTTAAACAGTACTTCAAAGGTTCTGTCATGTCAAAATTTTTATGCTTTATTACTGAAAAAAGATCAAAGTGAAAAAAAGTTATCCAAAAAATTTCCCCAAATTTTCTGTCAGTCCATAAAAAATCTCCAAACTGGAAACACTGGAGAGCATGCATGAAAACTGCCTTCAGTTCTCAATGTCACTTCCTGCTTTCCCGTCTGAGCTTGCTGTGTGACAGCATGACATCACTAGGTATGTGATGCATGAAATGCCCCTCTTTCTTTCACAGGAGCTCAACATTCTGCTGTTTTTCCTGGAGTGTGCTTTGTGATTTAATTTCATGCTGAATGTCAAAATAAATGGACTAGAATTTTTATCGCCACTTTAATAAAAATATCATCAAGTAGCAATTTTGGCACTATACAAGATGACGCCTGTAAAACATGTCAAATGTTGAACCAATTAAGTCTTAAGTATTTGAAATGGTATTAGACTTCCTAGCAGTAAGTTCTCCTGAAGATTGACTTCACATCGTCCCAAAACACTTTTGGACCAATTACACGTTAATTTCTGATTCCAATATAATAGGTTTCTTTATAGAATTGTAAAAAGCTAAAATGTTCTTGATTTTTCAATTATATAAATTTGGGTAAATTAAAATTACAATCTAAATCCTGATCAAAGAATAAATATTTTAGAACATCCATAATTAATTCTTACCTAACATCAGGACTCTTCAATGCAAGACGTAACAAATACGCAGCAGACATAACCATTCCAGAGCCGACAATGACAACTAAAGGAATTAACTGTAAAATAACAAAGTTTTATAAATATAACATTAAGAGTAAATTTGTAGATGGTATTTGCATTTTTCATTGAATATTCACACACTGGTGTTCTAAAACACAACTATCTTATCTGGGTCATAACATAACATAACAAGATTAAATTTCTTTCAATAATTCCACATTAAATACAAAACACATCTTGATATTCCAGCAAACTGACTTTATTTAATTGAACAAATGTTTTGGATCATCATTTAATGGTCATCATCAGGTCATGGATCTAAGAAATAGAACAAAACAAAATTTGGAACATTTAAACATAAAACTTTTTTAAGGATGTTTGTTATTTCAATGGAACAAAATTCATAATTTAAATTATAAAACTTAATCATACATGAAATAATTACAATTTTTAAACCATGTCCAAATGCACATGAACAAAATGAACTTAATACATATGTAATATGAATAAAGTTAACACAGGGTTTTTGCACTTTTTAAATATGTTTTTCATTGAAAAAAGGGACCAAAGAATTATTCTTCAATTATAATTCTCACTGTTTATTTCAGTAATTTTGATTATGCCACATAAAAATTCAAATTATAAATGTGAAATAGAATATGAATCAAACACAAGAAAAAATGCTATCAATCGTTGAAAGACTGAAATGAAATACAGGTATCCCTAGAATAACACGATTGATTAATCCCTCAATGCTACTGTATATATCAAAACTGCATTAATCAAATACAGTGTTACCTCAGTACCCAACTAATCATAACCCACTAGAATAAATTTCTGGTTAATAACAATATTTATAAAAATATTGTTATTTTAACTTTAATATTGTCATCCATAAAAACTTTTCTACGATAAAAATAAGTAACTAATTTAAAAAATAAAATGAAACCTTACAACTGCTTACCTTTGTCAAATAAAATTAAACTTGTTTTTTTCATTTAATAGGTGCATAAAACAGTCATTATGATTTGCAACCATTTCAAGTGGATGAAGTGCTTCAACAATACATGTCAGTGACACACTAAGATTTGTTGCAAGTTCACAAGTTGTTATTTGTCAGTTTTTAACAATTTCTTTTCATTAACAGCTTTTGAGAATCCCATACATTTTGTATCCTTTTGTTCAAAATTTCCCAAACAAAACTTTCAAAACCACATTTGATACATTCAACGTTTAGGAGCATTTTCCCCATTCACTGAGTATTTTTTACTGTATGTATAGTGTATCAAAATTACAACTGGAATGGATAACTAATAAGAAAATCAATATCTTACATAATTTTCCAGCATGTAGAGTTTGTATAACTTTAAATGTTTTTGGTTTATTTTAAAAACCTGCTTCAGGTTTGAAATTATATAATTCGAAAAATTCCCAAATTGGAATGTTTTCAAATATTCGATGAGGTTATTTATAAAATTCTTTTTAAATATTGTAAATATGTATACATAAATATATACTTTTGAACAATTACATATTAATAAAACACTGAGCATATAAATAATAAAATTTAAAATAAAATAAAAATACAAATAAAGTTAGGTCTGTCTCAAATGTTTAGTAAAATGATTTTCATGAAGTTTTAAAATACTGAACTTTAGATTAATTTAATAAAACAAAGTCAAAATGCATCATAATAAATGTCATTGAAATGAAAAATTTAAAAATTTAATAGTTATTAAATTGCTTAGAATAATAGAAATTTTGTTAGATATTGTTATCTCAAAAGTTTAGGTAATAATAATACAGTGGAACCTCTATATTCGTTATTAATCTGTTCCTAAGAATGGACCTGTTTGAATATGGAAAATGATGAATATAGAAACAATTTTACTCATAATAAATAACTGATATTCAATTAATCCGTTCCCATTCTAAAAAAATATTCAAGAATAAAAATTTTGTTGTTTGTAAAACTTTATCTTTATTGTACTAAATAAATACAGTATAGTGGTAGAAGGGGAAGAAGAATAAGGTGGTTATTATTGTTTAGAAGAAGACAATTCATCAAAATTAAATCAAATTAATTCTAAAAAAAAATCAATTAAAACATTAGGTAATTCTAATTATGATCTCAATATATTAAATTCTTTGGCTAAGTTGGAAAGTTGGAAACACTAGAAAGGTTGCAGCTGAAGTTTTCATCTCTAAAATGTGAACGTTGAGTGCCACCACTTTGAAAGTCTAGAAGTTTGATAATGGTATTTAGAATGTCATTGGAATAATGCATGACATTCCAAACACCATTATCAAACTTCTAGGCCAATATACGGCCCGTCTAATGAATTTATGCGGCCACAATTAATCTTTCAATATTAGCTACTCAAGTCCGAATAGCTTGATGAAAAATTCTGATGCCTAAAAAAAAAAAAAGCCAACAACTCACTGTGCATTTAGAGTTAACGCTCTATTACAAATCTCTTAAGTACAGCATAGAATGTTGATAATGCATGATAATGTGAAAAATGTATCTGTAATCTCTATGTATAATTTAGTCTCTACGGGGTGACACCACTATGAGATCTCGCATCACCTCAAAACCTTTCTAGGGCAGCCTCTCGTTCAGCCCGTGAAAAAAGTTTTCTTTCCAATTCATCCCGGGGCAAAAACTATTGGCCACCCCTGTTCTAGGCTTACAAGATGGTGGCACTCAACATTCACATTTTAGAGATGAAAATTTCAGCCACAACCTCTCTACTTTGTTCATTTTCAGACTTAGCAATAATTTTTTTTAATCTCTATTGTTCTAACAGCTTTCCTTTTTTGCTGTTTTCTTCAGTGCACTTTGTTGGAGCCACTGGAACTTGAGTTTTTGAAAATAATCAAAGCGAAAAACCAAGAACACACACAATGCCCTTACAAAGCAAACTGATTAACAACAGCTAGCTGACAATGTGTTGCCAACTCAAAATTCAAATTTATAGCTAGACATTTTAATAAAAATATTCAAATCATATTGTTTCCATTAAAACTGTTTGATTTTTTATATCTAGATAGCATTATAAAAATAGCTAGCCATTATAATTTAGGTAATTTGCATAACTAGTGTGTTCATAAATCCACTAAATCTAGCAAAAAAATTAGCTAAATTGGCAACACTAAAACTAATACGGCTAGCTGGTAGATGTGGGCATGCAATTGTAGCACGACTGCCGGTGTTGGGAATGATGACAAATACAGAAAATACTGATGAATATGGGGGAAAAAGAAGTCATCAAAATGTGACAAATATTGATTATTACTGTAATATCTGAATATAGAGCAAATTACTACACAAATTCACTGTTCCTGAGCAAATTATTACACAAATTCATTACAAATGATGTCAATTATGACTTAAGAATAAAACCTTGTGAAATCTTGTTTTTTATAATGGTTATTTTTTAAATTAAAGTAATAACAGAAAAACCAAGATACCAAATGAAAATCAATTTTCTTCAGAAGAAATTATGGAAATTTAGAGATTGAAAGCAAGTGGACATTCAGTTACTGAAATTTCAAACAAAGCAAGTCATTCAGCTTCAAGAATATATAAAGTGTAGGGAAGAAAAGAAAATTTTAATCCAGCACATTTTCAGATTAATTGAGAAATAGTTAAAAAGATACTACTACAATAAAATAGAGGTTAGATAAGATTAAGTTGGAGAAGTTCCATTTAGTTTTTGACTATAATTTTTACAGATATACACTATTCCCTTGTAGAACATCGCAACTACAAAACTTTTTCAAAATCAAAAGTATATCTGTAAAGTTAGGTATGTCATTTGATGATAACAAATTGTTTGTACTAGCCTATTTTTAATGCTTGTTTTAGTCATGTTGTACTGACTGACCCCTCAGTCAGCTATGATATACTCAAAAGTATTTTCATCAGCTGACAATATTGAATAGTCAACACAGCAAACAATACTCTAGTAATATCATGCCTAATGATAATAGACTTATCATAGTCATGCTCCTATTATCAGCAAAGAAATCAGAGATAAACTGTTTAGATTTGGATGATTCATTCATGGGTTGTGAATGAAAACTGTAATGAGAAAATTTGTGGGAAAATGAATCAAATACATCATGGCATAAGTGTTAGCAATAGTATACTGTCAGTAGACTAAAAACCATCACCTAGCCAAAATGTATATTTCATTTCCAAATGTAGTAAATCAAATATATACTTTCATTTAACAAAATATCCAAACTGCCTTATATGGTAAAGATCTGATGGATTATAATTGTCAGTGTTATCAAAATTCTGTTTCATTCATCCACTTACTGTTAGAAAGCACTGTATGAAGATTCATATACTGCTGTCTTCTAACTCAAAAGTTATTTAATAATACTTTAAATTTTATATGAATGTTACTTTAATTAAAATAAACAGATTTCTCCACTATAGAATTTAAAAAAGATGCAAATAAAGTAAAATGGTAGCCACTTTACTTTTTGATTTTGGTAGCAAAAAGTGGAAGATAATACCTAGTGTGTAAACGAGGTGAAATGTTGTACAATGAAGCAAGGGCTATTATTTATATTGTTGATTGCAATAATATATATAATTATTGCAATCAACAATATTTACTTTATTTTTATTAAAAATTTCCAAAAAACAACGAGTTTATAAACTATTAATATGACAATTTTTGTATCACACATCTTAACTATCAACAAAACCAACTAACTGCTCATCACAAATAGACTTGTAAACTTCTTTGGAGATTACAAATACTGTTTAGAAAATATTACATGATTTATTTTATAACTGTTTCCTAACTGATAAAATTTAAAATAATATTAAATAACTTTTATGAATGTTATTTTAATATATAATGGATTTCTAATTATACAGTTTAAAAGAAAGTAAATAAAAAGTATAAAAATCTTACAAAAGGATATTTGCTTGCATTTGGTTAGTATTATTATTTGTCATTATATATAATAATTTATTTTTTGAAAACTTCATTTGGAAAACAGGCAATTTTTGAGAAAAATTTTCTTAAAGTCAATAACAAAACAACAACGGAAAGAAAAATGGTCCAGGAATCAAACAGCTCTTCCCCTATAGATGAGGCCATCACAATCAGAAATGAAAAATTCACAACTGTTTAGTGTGGTGGAGTGGCAAAGCTGTAATGTTAAGTCTATGGACAAACATGCCACATGCTTGTGTGCCATCTAGTAATTTAGTGTTTTACTTTAATCATTAGATCAACTGGTTGGTCACCCCCTAATCTAAATTTCAGTCTTTTTTTGCTAGTTACATGTTAATTTAAACACTTCCACTATCTAAATACAAAAATTCATGCCTTCCTCTCACTTTCCAGCAATTCACTGATTAAAAGCGAATGTTTTTGGCTACTTTCAATGGCATGTGTCAGGTTAAGCAGAATTCTATAATGAACATCTCATCTATAGCAGGTTTGATATAGAATTCTGCTTAACCTGACACAGGCCACTGAAAGTAGCCAAATGTGTTTTCTTTTAATCAGTGAATTGCTGGAAAGTGAGAGGAAGCTGTGAATTTTAATATTTAAAAGATAGCTGCAATTTTAGAATTAACAGCTTACATTTTCTATTTAAATAATAAAATTATTGTTGCCACCTTTTTCAAAGTTGCTGACCCAGACAGCAGGTCAGGTTTGTTTGAACAGAAGTTCCTGACACATGCGCAATGTCATTTTACAATGCAAAGAATAACGTGCATGCCAGTTCTAAATCAGTTACAGTTAGGGACTAGGGACTTGTGTAGGAGTAACGTAAGTAACCCTAAATTAAGAAAGAATAGGTACAGATGACTTAGCTCTATTGGATATTGGAGACGTGTACAATCGTATATGCAAAAAAAAAAAAAAAGAAAAAAGGTTGACAGGTTGCGCGCCACACTTCGATGTAAACAGACTAACATGGCAGAATTGCAGATGAGTTTCAGTAAGTGTGAGTTCTTTTGCTGTTAAAATAGTTTAAATTTGTAAAAATATTTGCAAGAACTTTGTTTCATTGTAATTTCACAATTTATACGAAATTCCCGGATAAAAATTAATAGTTCACCCAGACAGTGAGTCAATTCCCAGACTGTCTGGGTGAAAACCAAATGGGTGGTAACACTAAATAAAATAAAGTTAAAAATCACTTTTATTTTTGAACTAAACTATTTTAATTTTTTAGAATATGTAATAAAAAAGTATATACTAGTAGAATAAATGAATGTACTGTAATTTTCAACACTAAAAAGCATTTGTTAAATGATATTTATAGAAAACTCCGATCAATAGAATTTATATTTTTTTAAACTCAAGTAATATAGTATATATATTTAAAATCAATTTTTTTTTAATGCCATGTTTTTAGCACACTAGTCTAGCATCATTTCAATACCATGTTCAAAAACAGGACATATGACTATTTCTGCTTAA